TATATATATAGTTTTAAACATTTAAAAAAAAAATAGCTTGAGTTGATATATAATTGAGATATTTATTCAATTTAGATGAAGTTGAAATTAGATGGGAGGCATCATTATCTTGAGGGGATAGGGTTTGTAGGGTTTGTAGGGGAAAGCAAGGCAACGTCCCTCTCACACATACACACGCAATCACTCTCTCTCTTTCTCTCTCTCTTCCCACCAAACGAAGAAGGAAGAAAACACCACTCGTACTCCCCCAAAGCCGCATACACACACTCACTCTCTCTCTCTCTCTCTTCCCACCAAACGAAGGAAGAAAACACCACTCGTACTCCCCCAAAGCCCTCGTCTTCTAACAGTCACGGAAACCAATGCCTTTTTGCCCTAACAATGCCATTTAGTAAGCCCAAGCAAGATAGACAGCAGAGATAGAAAGATAATAATAAAAAAGTAATGTGAGAAAGTAGGAGAGAGAAAGCTACGGCTGTACAGAAGAAGAACAAATAGACATCTTTCATTCCCTCTCTCTCTCTCTCTCTCTATCCCTCCAACACACAGCTCCACTCTCACCTTTTGTTCTCCCTCAAGCTTTCTCTCTTCTCCTTGTACATTTCTTTGTCTACTCCCTCCCATATCATGTAAAGACTCCCTAAGCTATATAACTCCTACTTATTCTCGTTAAAGATCGAATTTTTAACGGTAAAAATGATTTTTTTCAATTTTTTTTGAAGGAGGCCGGATGAGTGCCCGCTGGACCTCAATAACCTCCCTGAGGAGTATGGTAAGCAAGCTTTGGAAGAGAGCTCCACCACCACCGCAGCCTCTACAGAAACTGCAAGTAAGACAACATATTTAACCCTTACTAATCAATTTCTACAGTACTAATATAAAAAACATATTTTTAAAATAAATTTGTAGCAGGGTTCAAGAAGAAGAAAAATGGAGGAAAGGATGAGTGTGGGAAGGTTTATGAGTGCAGGTTTTGCTCACTTAAGTTCTGCAAATCGCAAGCTTTGGGTGGCCATATGAACAGGCATAGACAAGGCATGCTCATCAATTTCTCTTCTTTTTATCTATTTGTATTTAATCATGAAAAAAAAATTACATTTTTCTTATGATTTGTTCAGAGAGGGAAACTGAAACACTCAACCGAGCTCGCCAACTTGTGTACAGCAATGAAGGACTCTCTGCTGGAGTTCACTTAGGGTGAGAATCTATTCAGATTTCAGTAGGGTTCTTTCTTTAGAAAAAGAAATGGGTGCAATTTTGTTCAATGGTATTATGACATATGGTATATAAAAATCATTGCAAATAATATTTTCTGTTAACATGGTATTTTATTTTAAAATAAAAGCTAAAATTTCTGGATGAGAATTAGTTTTCAATTTTCAACTATAATGTTCTTTAAAGATTGATTCATGATGATTTAATTATATTTAAATGATATAGAATCATGTGATTATGATTTCTTGATAATAAAAAAATAATGATGATGGGTTAAAAAATACATCAAAAAAAAAAAAATATCTGTAATTAACCGAAAATTTATCAAAGAAGGTCAAAGAAAATTTATTTATATGTACACATACACATTACACACTATAAATTTATAGACAAAATAAACAATAGTGAAACAAAGGAAATATTTAAAGTAAATTTTATAACAAAATAGTAAAACATTAAGACACAAACTATTATTTTTTATAAACTTCATATGTGTTATAGTCATATGGCTTGACATTTCATGAAAATATATTTCATCCCATGTATTAGGTTTGGGAGTCCATTCTCATGAACATTGGATCTAAATATCCTAACCCATATTTTCAGGTTAAGAGACCTAAATTCACTTGGATCATCAACACCAATCCAATCCACCACCTTCCCTTCGACAACCCGCAACATCATCAACGATCCATGCCTACAATTCCGACCGTTGTATCCTCGTCTACCAATTCAAACCACACCCACACCCACACCCACTCTCCATCCATGCATTTACCCTTCTTCCTCCTACCCTCCCCTTCCTCACCATCCTCCCATAAATTGTGATTACTACATTGGTCATGTCCTCCCCACCATCTCCCCAAGCCCTCTTCACCCTCTCGAGTCTACCTACTCGTGCTTCGGAAACCTTAATCTCCCCGTCGATGGAGTCCGGCCGCCGATCACGGGGCGAGATAGTAGCCTACAAGCTAATCAAATGGAGGGAATGAATTGGAGTTGCAGATATGGATTTGGGCAACATGATGGAGGTGATGTTTCTAATGATCACATTGATCCTTCTTTTCCTTGATAGGGTCATGGTTTGGAATTTATTATAACTTATTTATGGTTGTATGGTAAGTGAGGTTTTTTAGGTTTTTTTTTTTTTTTCTTCTGAATTAATGAGGTTTGGATGTTGATTAGTTTTATGTATTCAGAATGAATGTATTCTGATGATAAGATTAAAGTAAAGAGTACTGTTAGATGTTTTATTCATGCTTTATATTCATATTCCAATTGTAAGATTATATTTTCTTATCCATCTATCAGCTGTGCTACAAAACCTTTAATATTATGACATACATTAACTGAAATTTCGGATCACAAGCAATGATCAAACATTTAAGCACATCATATGAATTAAAGGTTTTGACATACGCCAAATTTATCATTTTGAAGAATTTCTGATGGATGATATTCATTGTGAATGCTGCAAAATTGATCTAGCTTATCACAAGTTTGTACATTCATTAACTGAAATTATGTTGCAACATGGACATTAATAAAAAAGAGCAAAAAACAAAAAAAACAAAAATTTTAAATTGTACACATTTGTAATTAGAACATATCACAATATCAACAATACCAATACTTTTGCAACATCCTTCACTAAACTCAAAATCTAACAAGAATGACAAATCAAACATTTGATTAACCATGTAATAAATAATAAAAAAAATAAAAAATGATAATAACAAATACTAGAACTCGAGTTTCATATAATGTAATCATTGTATGTGCGTGTGCGTCTACACACACACACACACATGGAGCCCGATAGGATTTTTGCCTATGCTTCCCGCTCCCGCTTTCGCTCCCCCGATCACGAAACGTCGCGATCCAACCTCTTGCGAACAGCTCCCGCTCCCGCCTCTCTCTTCGATCGCGAAAAGTCGTGATCCTTCATTGTTGCACAATAACCACTGCTCCCACCTCCAAGACCGCGAAACGACTCCACCTTCCGTTTCTTTTAAGTTGCGAACAAAAGAGCTCTTCTTAAGGTTTCAAAAGTCACATTTTTTAATTCTTCTTCAGGTTTCCTCGGGACAGAGGAATGAAACTGCAAAAAGTAGTTTCTTGCGACAAAAGGAAAAAGAAAGAAGAAGAAGAAGATTGTTCTCTCTGGCTTATTCTTGGTGGCTTGCGGCTAAAGAGAAATTGAGTTTATTTCTCTAGTAATTTTGTCTTCTTCAGTGTATCTCGATGTAGAGTTTCTTCGGTGTATCTCGGTGTAGAGTTTCTTTGGTGTATTTCGGTGTAGAGAGAGAAGAACAAAGAGAGAAGAAGAGAGGGCAGCGAAGCAACTAGTGTAAATTTCAACTAGTGTAAATTTCTCAAGTAGTAAAATCCTCTGCAACTCCGTGGATGTAAGCAATTTGTCGAACCACGTAAATATGTGTTACTGTTGTCTGGTGCGAATTTTCTCGTTCTATTTTTCACTTCAAAGATTGTTCTCCTGATTGATTTTTATATATACCACATCAACCGGTATAATTCACATCAATTAATATTAGCAATATAATCATCTTACACATGCATAAATTTTAATATCAAATATAATATCAGCTTTTTTTTAATCATATTGTTAGTGTTCTAGATTTACAATTTAAAGATATTGATGAATAAAATTTAATGTTTTTTTTATGAATTATATTGAACTCATCTCATTACAATCTCATAGTGAGCAATGAGAAGGATGGAGTCATTGATTTACTTATTAAGATGTTCTTCTACACAAGATGTTTTGAGTGAGATTTAGCCATCATTTGCACCCAAATCAAGTTTTCCTCAAGCCAATTAATCTCTAACATTGCATGCTTATCTTAAATACTGATTGAGGTGGCCTTTTCCTTAAACCGGCCTAGAGCCTAACATATTGAGATTCTTCACTTTATTTTCAATTAATGTGTTATACATACGAGCGAAGATGACGGTTTGTTGCCTCGCAAATATGCCGAAGGAGATCATCGCCGTAGTGCTCATCAATGTAGTTATAATTACGCAAAAATTATAAATAATTGGAGTTATTAGACATTAAGAGAAAAAAAAAATAAAACATCAAAATTAAAAGATTAAGTTTTCACTTAAAAACACTCCTCAACCTCTCCCCTGTCTCATCATGTAGAATGCCCATCACAGAGATCCAAGGCTTTCATTCTTCATTTATTTAGACTTTCTGTTACCCAATAAATAGCCTTTGGATCATTAAATTACTTTCAATTCAGCTTGTCAATATATATCATTTAAATATATTTAATTTTTTTTTTTTTTTTTTTACAAATTAGCAATTATTGGCTTCTAGTTTATGAAAAAATACTTTTAGGATAATGTATTGAATAAAATTTTGCTTAATAAAAGCATCTCTTGTTTCTTCACTTCAATATGTTCATCATTAAATGCATCCATTAGCTTGTCGCGTTCATCTTGAGATCCATTAGTATAACTCCTACATGTAGATGCATGTCCTCTAGCACCACCTAGCACCACAAAGACAAAAGAAGGAATTCACATACAAACCACACAATTCTTATGAATTTACATATCTAACAACTAAATTTTATTTTTTATATTGAATCCTTCATATCACATAGAAAACATTACTAACTTCTTAAAATGTCAAATTTTTGTATTCCGATCGATTCTATCGAAGAAAAGTTTAGTCTGGAGGATATCATAATGACTTATGAAGAGGTTTCTTCAATTATGGATGACTATGATGATGATATAGATGAAGAAATTTTAAGTTCATCACTGACTAACTCGTCTAATGAAACAAATTAAGGGTGTCTTTTTTAGATTTTAGTTTTTTCCTCATTTTATCTCTTTTAAAATTAGTATTTTTAAGTTTCACATTGTTTGTTTCGCGTATTCATGATTTTACTTTTGATATCCTTATACACAGTTACAACATATTTCTTGTTTTGGTTATGCTCATTCATGCTTTTATTTTTTATGCTTATATTATGCTTTTATTGCTAATTACTTTTTTTTTTACTTTTATTGCTTATTAAATTTATTAATGTCCTTCCTGTTATAGATGGTTTTAAGTGGTAGTGAAGATCGGCCAGCTCACTGACCTCCTCGTCAGGGCTCTGGTACTTATAGAAGGATAAAAAAGTTAGTTCCCAGCTCTGCCTCACATAGCACTAGTATTGTGTTGATCAGCAACAACACCACCACCGCAACCCCTCCCACACCTTCGTTCCTACTCCGGTCATGCTTGTTGCTCCTTTTTGACCACATGCTGCTACCACCGAAGCCCCTCCCACACCTTCTATCCTTACTCTGAGCACTCAACAACCCCTCCCTCCTTATATGACTCGTACACTTCTGCTCCTGCCAATTTATGGCAGAACACCTTCGACTTGAAATATATTAAGCCAGAAAGAGACTCGTAATTTAAATTTTCTATTATAATAAGTCCTTCGACTTGAAATATATTAAGCCAGAGACTCGTAATTTAAATTTTCTATTATAATAAGTTGAATGGTCTTTTCAATACTTTGTGTAACTAATACTTCTATTTTAGGTTCTACTCCTCCAGGCAGCCTTCATGCGTACCACATAGACCTTTAAGAGTAGATATAATTCTCCATCTCTCATGGAAGAAGATCAATCATGACTTGGGGCATGTGGTTTAGGGAGTTCGAGGTAGAATTAGCTAACTTGAATTAGAACTATAATGTCAAGTTATTTTATTATACTAATAAATAATGCATAATTTTTATCTTGTAGACGTCCTTCCACTGACTGTCAGAGCATCACTAGCAGATCAGATATATTTTTTAGATTTGCACCAGGCATCAACTATGTGATATGTGCATGACAACCTGCTAGAAGAGTGGTGGCCTATTTGGATTGGAGAAGAAGATTTAGGACCAATTGACCGGATCATGGGAATCTCTTGATTATCAGAGGAAGAGAGAAAAAAATCAACATAACAGGAGGGTCAAGGAAGCCAAGAAAACTACTCTCCACATTACATGATTATTTCCACATATAGAGGACTATGAGAATTGGTAAGATTTATTAAATACTCAACAATTCAATGATGCAACTATCTGACTGCCCACCACTGTTGATTTACATTTTCAAACGCAAAGGACATTCCATTTAAGACTCCAAAACTGCTCAGGGCATCCCAAGGTCATAATCACCGAAGAACAATGAACTTGTTCGACATTTCACTGTCAAGATTGAGGAGTTCCGTAAGCTGCGTGAGGGACAGTAGAGAGTCGAGGCCACTGTAGCATGACTGGAGCATATTGTAGATTGTCGTGGAAAGCAGCCTTTGAGTTCAGTGAATGAGGAAGAGGAGAGAGAAGATGAGGATGAGTATGTTGATGATGCCTCCAAGGAGCTTGTATACTTTTTTGTTGTTGTTATTTAGTATTTGGACATTATTCTCTCTATATGTATTTTTATGCTTAAATTATCAATTATGTTTTATTAACACTTTTAAAGATTTTGATTTTTTAATTCGATTTATTTTTTTTACCAATACATATTTCTGTGCCATAGGTTTAATATTATACTGGTAATGAGTAAATGTTTGTAATATTTATTGTGTGCATGTTGTAAAAATATGACCGTTCTTATATACAATGCCGAAACCTTGGAAACATTCCAACACTAACATTCAAAAACGGTGGATGCAAATAATAAAGCATTGCAATACTAACATTAAAAAACGGTGGAAGCAAATTTCATATGTGGACTCAAATTTAGTTTATAGTTAACATTTATGTCGGCATGAGTCATGTCAAAAATAGCTAATGTCAACAATGTCGGGCATAAATGTCGATGCAATTGGTTTGCATTGGCCATAGTTGAAGCTAATTGCATTTGTGATGTTGATTTATGCGTGAACCATATGTTCGATGCAAATTTTGCGTCAGAATTTTGCTATGGACGTTAATTTGGAAAAATCTCGTAGTAAATGCTTCACGATGGGAGCATCGAAAGATGATCAATATAAAGCCTGGGAAACCCTAGCGGGAGCCGAGTTTCTCGATTTAATAATTTTATATA